AGATCTTAAGACTGCCAGTATCTTTGTTGACAACTACAAATTACTTTTAAATGCTCGTTTACCTCACGATACTGTGGTAAAAGCATTTTTTAATATGTTCGTTATATTTCACGAGCTATTCACAAAAACATTTGCACCTTTATTCGTACATGAGCGATTTGAGTCTCTTGTACCTCGGGAAACTCAGTGCCAGTATATCGCTTCCTCAAAACCCCTTCTCATCTTAAGTCAACGTGGTGAGTCCTTCTCTCAGTATAAAAGTGGTCAAGCTGTAAATTCCCCAAGTATTTGCTGGAAGAAAACCCTTATTAGGGCTGAGCTCGCCTTTGTACATGTTATTTACGTACAATTTTTATAATGTGTTCAATAAAGAATAAGGATATAGCCTAACAGATATATTATTAAAACTATTTATAATGACCAACTATCATCGAATCAAATTAAATTTGTAGTGTTCCACTATCAAAGTAAAAATTTTGGTTAAAAATCAGTAGAATAGGTTCATTTTTTTCATAAAGCCGTAATTTTTAATTCACAGTTCGCGAGCAAACCGGGTTCGATCTCCGCCAGCAGCAACGAAATTTGATTGCAACTTTAAGATTTATCACGGCTTAGCGGCAAAGGAAAATATCGTAACGACCCCTGAATGTCATAGAAATATATGTTTTGAGGACATGTGAAATCTGTTAACGTCATGCAATGGAACAGTGGGTCAGAATAATTACTCCATAGCTCACAAAAAAAAGTCCAAAGTGGCGGCTAGAACGTTATAGGATATTATTTTTTCTTATATAAACTTCAGCAACATAAAAGATGCAACCACGAAAGATTTATTTAAACTAAAAACGCTGGACAAGCGAATAAAGAAAAAGCGATAGCGAATGCGAATACATAGACCCGACACTCGTGCACTGATAATGGTAATGCCGCTTGAAATCATTACAACGATTTTTTGTAGGCATATTCCATTGCTTACAACATTTTTCGGTCGCTAGATCCTCATTCATATACGTGACACAGTGCATCGCGTGCAGGAAAGGTTTATGCTTAGTAGATTCTTACACGCAAACTATAACTTGAACATATTTTGCGAATTATATGTAGTTCACTGCAACTAATAAGTTCACCGATTACAGACTTTCCTAAAACACAGACGTTCTAGGAATCCTTCAGTCTGTGTACATGTTCAGGTCTTCTCTGCCATTATTAAGATCTAATAAGCTACGTGTTGTCGTAAAATAAACGATTCTTACCAAGAATGATTAGTTAGGCTATTATATTTAAAAACTCTCAGTATTTCAATAGAGAATGGCAGATTGCTACCTACTATTTGCTTGGGATCTCATAATTACATGTACGTGGTAGAGTCATGCTCAGCTATATTATGGTTGCAGCAAGAATGGGTCAGCTCGACCGGGGAAGGACCCTGCTCTCAAATATCAGCGTAAAATAGCAGCTTAATGCTGCTTTGTTTCGTATGGTGAGTGTAGAAAACCGAACAACCGGCAACGCATCTGCGTATTGATTCTTCGTCGAGGACAAATGTAAAAGTATATGCCACATTATCTAGTTACCATCAGGTGGACTGTGTGCTCGTTGGTCACCCTTATTATATTTAAAAAAAAAAACAATATGAAATCCAAACATAAGCACTGCAAACTTCAAGATACTATAAACTATATCGGATAAAAAATAATATTCTTAAAAGCAGAAAGTAACCGGAGTTAACTGTGACATCAGGACCTCAGACATCTCAGACCCCGTGACTAAGGTGTTGTAAAAACACTGTTGAAACTTCAAGGATTAAAATAAGATTATATACATACATACAGTATATATATATATATATATATATATATATATATATATATATATATATATATATATATATATATATACAGTAAACGCTATAAAATCAGTAATATTAATTTTATTCAAACAGTGAGAATGCTAGGGCATAGTCATAAAAGTCTCTTAATATGTCGAAGTAGGTGAAAATTTATTTATCAAATTCTATTATATTCATATGTACATACATAGCGCAAGATGTAAAAAGAGATGTACCTAACACTGTTGGTTATGTGAGATATATATAGGTCGTGCCAAATCGTTTTAGAAAAACGGACAATGACCTCAGATATGAGCCGAGTGTCAAGAGGCGTAACTTACAAAATCTCAATTTAGATGTGATAACAATATTTAAATATTGATATTATTCACACGTCTAGGTCAGCACATATGTTTTGTTTTTTAGTTTCTTAAATAATATTGTCTGTGGTTCCTATAAACATCATAAAATCTTACGGTATATCGTGAAAAATGTGTTATATTTTATATTTCAATTTATGGTAAGTAACGCAGCAATTTATTTAATAACAGTTTCATATTGAAAAAATATTTGAAGCAATATCATTACCATATTGAGCTTTTGCAAATTCATCCCTTTAAAATAAGCAAAATGCGCGTTACGTCAGTTCGTTCAAAAAGAAACGTGACAATGACAGCCAGAGATGCGTCACCTTTTATGAGCAGGGTACGTTGCACGAAAAAATACAACTTTCAAGTTAACAGATGTTAAATATTTACTTAAAGATGGTTTAACTCAAATCACGCTAGATAAATGGAAAAAATGTGTTCAGCACGTCCTTAAGGTTGAACAAAAAATGCGTGGCATGGATGATAGAATTGACCAAACTGCAGATCGCTTTATAATTAATGTTACAGACAGTTCATCTGAATACACATCAATACAGTGATGATTGCACCGAATAAAAATAAAGTTCTTATATAATATTGAAAATAAAGTTTTATCTTTTGAATAAGTACGTACTTATTCGGTGTCTTTATCACTCGAATATTTATATTTGTTATAAATTAGTGGTTTTTGTTGTAAAATGAATGAAGTACTTTATAACAATAGATGATTTGTCTTCTACGGCGATCTTTTACATAACTTTTTAATAATAGTTAATAAATATATATTATATCAATTACTATAAAAAATTATAAAAATCATTATAAATAAAGAAAGTACTACATATAAAATGTGCCTATATATTGAAGGTTTGTAATCACTGGTTAAACGACCGAAAGGTCATTGTCCGTGTTTCTCAATCGATTTGGCACGAACTATAACTATTGTGCTTAAGGTATATGTTGACATGGGTTGACAGGATGTTGTTAGGTATTAAAGCCGTCAACTGTTAGTTTAAACACTGTAGTATAAATAAATTTAAGGCGATAATATCAGACGCTAAAATGCTTTTAACGCTCCCTTCTCCTATGCATGCGCATATTTGTCCAGTACGAACGAAGCATGCAATATTTTCGAGATATTCGGTGAACTAATGTGCCTTAATTTGAAACTTTTTGCTTATCGTCAGGAAATTAATGATCTAAACAAAATTTTTGACGATATTGAATCTGATTAAAATTTTATATGGTTATCGCTTAAAAAACGAAAACTCGGACGCCAATAATTTTCCTAGCGATATTTTTTTATCTCGATTAATATAAAGTGTTTTTAAAACCCATTTGATTAAGAATTTAATTGAGTAATTCACGTATGTGCATCTTTTTTACAAGCTTATCTTATTGCAAGACGTGTCAATTCTAGAGCGTCAAAATAAATAAAAAAGAAACAAATAAAGAAATAAACAGGGGCAAAAATAAAAAGAAACATCTTTATTTGAAGCTACATAATACATTATTGCACCACATAAATATTTTATATTACATTATCATTAATACATAGTAACTTAATGCTGCTGTGTTTCGTATGGTGATTGTAGAGAACCGGAGACCCTTTTTACTGGAAAGGAGGCATTCTATCTTAGTCCTCAAGGGTGACAACACATCCGTATTTTAAATTTTAATTGAGGATAAATGTAGATGTCTATGAGCCTCAGCATCCAGTTACCATCAGGTGAACTGTGTGCTCGTATGTCACCCATATCATAAAAAAAACATGTGTGCAATTCACACGTGAAACCTTCAGAAAAGGAGACTAAGATAGTAAGAAACACTGTCTACTATGTTCTATCTCATTCACTCGCAGGCTAAGATGTATATTTCTGTCTCTTTTTCATTTCATAGAATTTCAAATCTCAGTTTTCGCTTTAAAAAACCTGGTCTTAAGGTGATACCTCGGAAATTTTGTGGTTTTTCTATTTCACATATTTTTTTAAGTTTTTTAGATAACAACAGATTTTTGGTATATGATTTTTGACTATATGACACACATACATCATGTAATTTTCTCGATAGAAAAAAATTGCAAAGTAGGCTCTAATTAGTTACATTTCTCCATGACACCACAATATTTTTACGAATAAGTTTATAGAATTATTTTTAAGGCATAGTAAATAAATCAATAATCATATCTAAGTTCTCATAAACTATTTTTTTTAAATTCGTAACGTAGTTTTGTTAAAAAAAAATAAAATAAAAATGTTGTTTGGCGCTTACTTCGTTTTTTTCCGAGCGTGTTCTCGGTATAGCTATCTCATAATTTGCGTATTATGAAGTCATTGCATCACTTTCATTGTGACACTTCCTCAATCGTCCGTGAGCTTCACCGACAAAGGAATAAGCCACGCCCCCAAAACTACGATTCATTTTCAAGGTATCCTCTTAATGCTGCTGTGTTTCATATGGTGATTGTAGAGAACCGGAGACCCTTTTTACTGGAAACGACGCATTCCATCTTAGTCGTAGTAGTGACAACATATCTGCATAAAATAAATGTAAATGTCTATGGGCCTCAGCATCCAGTTACCATCAGGTGAACTGTGTGCTCGTTTGTCACCCATATTCTAAAAAAAACATGTGTGCAGTTCACACGCAGAATAAGTGAAACATTCAGAAAAGGAGACTTTGATAATAAGAAACACCGTCTACTGTGTTCTATCTCGTTCACTCGCAGGCTAAGATGTATATGTCTGTCTCTTTTTCGCTTCATAGTATTTCAAATTTCAGTTTTCGCTTTAAAAAACCTGGTCTTAAGTACGTATTGATGTGTACAGATGCGAGGATGGTGGAGGCGGCGCAGCGACAGGCACGGGCGGGCGCGCGGCTTCGCTGCGGCTCGCGAACGGGCGCGTCGCGGCGCAGTCGGCGGAGCAGCTGCCGCACTCGCCCGCGGACTGCGCCTCCGTGCGCATCTCCATCGACAACACCAATACCTGCTGCACCGACTCACTCGTCACTGCACTCGACGATGAGACACTGCTTCTAGGTAACTGTTGCATACATAACTAGTTTAAATAAAAGTGATATTCACCGTCTTGTGACTGTGAAAGAATATCCAACACCCCATATCACACCGTGGGTGTCGTAAGAGGCGACTGAGGGAAATAAATTTTACGTGGTAGTGCCACGCTGCAGGTATATCATGGTTGTAGGACGAATGGGTCGGCTCGACCGGGGCAGGACCACGCTCTCACGGAATACCAGCGTAAAATAGCAACGTAATGCTGCTGCGATTCATATGGTAAGTGTAAAGTTCCAGAGACCCTATTTTACTGGAAAAAGTACATTCCATCGTAGTGCTCTTAACTCTGCATTTAATTCTTTCCTCAGAGCAGGACACCTTTAAAATTATTATAGTTTTAACACTTTTGACTGTCTTCTCGCTCTAACAGTTGTAAACGCAATTGCTGATCATGTGGTCCCTGGTTCAAAACCCGAGTGACAGCCCAAAAATATTCTTGCCCGAATCATTTATTGGGTTTTTCTGTCACAAAATTCTCAATTCTCAGTTGGCGGGGTTTCACCACCATGCCTCCGGAAGCCGTTACCAAAATTCAATCTGGAACCCTTTAATATAGTTTTGAAAATAAAACACATAGTTGTTTGAATCTTTTAATGATCAAAAGTGAGAATGAGAACTTAGAATCATATAAAATCTGGCTGCTGTCTTTTTATTTTTTTCTGAACAGCAAATAAATACTAATTAGAAATAACTACCTTATTTCATAATTTATTGTAGATTAATTAAAAATTGTCACTTTGTAACTTTAAGTTCAAAAGTATAGGTTTTCAGAATAATCACGTAACTAGTCAGGCCATGCTGTCAAACCTGGTACGCGCGGTGTCATAATGATGGCACGGGTAATATAGTTGGCATGAAGCTACGCTTTTATTTGTAAAAGCGGGACATTTTTACGTATTTTGGGAACAGTGGGACACAAACCTTTAAATCGGGACCGTCCAGCCTAAAGCGGGACGTATGGTCACGTTAGTGGTAACGCATCTGCGTTTTGATTCTTAATCGAGAATAAATGTAGATATCTACGGGCTACAGCATTTACTTACCATCAGGTGGACTGTGTGCTCGTTTGTCACCCTAATTCTATTTAAAAAAAAACCATAGAATTTAGGGATATGGATCACACCTTGGATGTCTTAAGAAGGGACAGAGAGAAATAAATCAGGAAATGGGCACAGAGTCCTCCTAATAACGACAAAAAATAACAAAACTGCTGTTGCCAACACGCTTGCCAAGTGTGGTGCCTGTGGGAGAATGAAGCAATCTATACGGTAAGTCTATGTTCAGGAGAGAACTTTAATATGCTGTAACTGTTACGGTAAGTGATATTCACTCATCAAATACTAGGAACAGGCACAAGCTCACTAGCAGGCTTGTGCCTGTTCCTAGTAGTATCTGACTTCCGCCAAGTTTAAAAACTTTGTTAAAGAAAGATTGTATAAAAGGGGATCATTAGATACGAGTACCTATAATATTAAAGTATATGTGATGATAATAACTCATGGTATTGATGTGATCGATACCAAGCTATTTGTTTCTTTTGTGTTTGCAATTATTGTGTTACATAATTATTGTAAACTATTCTTTTTTCTTTTCGAATAAAAATGTTCCGATGAGTTTTAACTGGTTCTTAACAAGACAGAGGTATTTTCCGAACCAGTGGTAAATTGATCACAAGATTGACTTTCAATAAGATTTATTTATAATCTTTATTGAATAAAAAGTTTATATTCTTTGTCATTTCTATTTTATACATAAGCACTAACGCCAGTTACCAAGAGGAGCAGAGATAGATTACAGATTTCCGATCCTGACACATCCCTTTTGCTTCTTTCACATACACCCTACGCATGCACGCTCGTCCGTTAAATATACTTTTAATTTAACCCATCTTCGATATATCACCAATTTGGTTAAATAACTGTCCACATGGTAAAGGCACACTGCAACTTAAGAAGCCACTTAAAAAAACGTCATCAAAAACATCTGACGATACCAGTTAGCTATCAGAGCTGGGGCCCACCAGCCTTGTTCGGACGGCGGTTAGGTAATTCATATAAACACTGAAAGTTCGTATAGTTTAACATCGTTACGAAGTAACATTGAGAATAATCTATCATCACTAATGTCCCCTTTTTATAGGACTCAGAGCTTGCGGCCTGAAAGGCTGTAAAAGTCTGGCTTAGCCATGAGTCTACCAACTGCTACCTCTTTGTTTGAAGTTAGTTGCAGGTGTCTACGGGATACAGTAGGCAGTTACCATCAGGGAACTGTATGTTGGATTGTCACTGCCACTTTATGAAAAAAAATATGGCCGAAAAAGTCTATTTGATATTTTTTTTAGTAAAATAAGGGTGATAAACGAGCACATAGTCCACCTCATGTTAAGTGTAGCTATAATCGAAGGATCATAGCTACACTTACCATGAGGTATATATATATATATATATATATATATAGATAATAGATATATATACATATACATATATATATATATATATATATATATATATATATATATCTCATGGTAAGTGTGTGTGTGTATACGTATATGTATATATATATGTATATGTATATACATCTATTATCGGTTAAAAATCAAAACTCAGATGCGTTGCCACCTTATGGAACGGACAAAGAATACATACGAAACACAGCATCATAATTCTGCAATTTCCTACTACTTACTACTAATTTTCCTATCCTAAGGTTGAACCGATCCATTTTAGCTATACTTAGCTCCAGTGTAGCTTCGCCAATTATCGCAATCGCCAATTAGTTTAATTAATGCGTAGTACTAGCGCATAAATCATTATATTAGAATATTTGTTTTTTATATATAAAATATGAATAACGCGATAATAGCGGTAAATACTTAATTTTACAACCCATAACTTCGTCCTCGTGAAATTTATAAAGATTGAAATTCACGTGTTTTATTTTTTTGTGCGGAACCTTAATTATTTCTCTAAAATAGTAGTAGCCTAAGTTACTTCTTATAATATCAGCTATCTGCCAGTGAAAATCGGTCCATCCATTTCGGAGATTAGCCGGAACAAACGGAGACTGACAAAAATTTTAAATATTTGTTTTTTGTTATAAGTAACGTATTTCATAAAGGTAATGTCATGTAATTTAATATAAAGCTGACATTACGAACAAACATTTCTATATTTTTTTATTGTATAGAATTATATACATGTTCTTCATGTGCATCTCTGTAAATCAATGAAATAGTATAATGTGAAGTGTGTTATATTTCATAACTCTATCAATTATTTTCACGTTTTATTTCAATACCATTCCAAGTGATATTGTCACATATATTAACGATTATAATTGCCTATTGTTAAGTGTGATGAATAAACTGAGTCACTTAAAAGAATATCTTTGAAATATGAACTAATGTAAACAATTCCATTCCTGTCACGTTACGGATATTATTATGAATAAAATCTTATATCAAATCATAACAAAATGTCACTAAATAAGGTATTCGTCTGTCTTATATAGATTCGAGGTCAAGATTAGATTACGCAGTGTTCTGTTTTTGCAAAACTAAGCTAGAACTATCTAGGGCGCATTGAATAAATAATGACACTTCGCTTCTTATATCAATATGAGTTTTCGTTGATTATCTTTTAGGCAGATTGACCAGTTTTAAAACAGAAATTACTTGATTAATGTGTCTACACAGAAAAAATATACAAATACAAACCTTTAGGTATTCTTTTTTAAAGAGAAAGCTGTTTTGAATTGAATAAAATTTTGTGTATCATTAATAGTATCCTGAGTATCGTATTAAATATCGCGTAATTTTAAATTTTATTTTAACTTCTTGGGGACAATGAAGTACCTGACAAGTCGCGAATTACGTTAAAATTTAACGCGACGAAATCCTTAAAATTAGTGTTAATTTTTTTAGTATTTCTATAAATATTAGGAATCATTAAGCTGGTTAAATAATTTAACACAAATCTTCTTTAAGTCAAAAAGCAATTTATCAGTATTAGTGGCACACAAAAGGTTAAGGTAACACGAAGTTCTGTACTCATTCGTGTAAATTAGGATACATATATGTTATATGGGTATCATGAAGTTTCATTTAATTAAATAATTACACTAATATCAACATTTACATAAATGAAACTATGTATTAAAATTCGTATTTTACTGTTGTAACTGAAAATTGGACTTTAAAATGCTGTAATAACAGCATTTTAAAGTCCAATGTTTAACATAGGCCTCCCCCATAGATTGCCTCACAGGGGGATATTTGCCATAGTCGCCACGTTTGGCAGGCGGGTTGGTAACCGCAGTTTTTGTAATCGTCATTAGGAATTCGCTTCTGCCTATCTTCTAATTCAGTTCCCTCTGTCACCTGCTACGACACCCACGGGGTTAAATTGGATAGTAGATACTCTTTCACCGCCACTACATTCTGTAATACTATTTTACAAAACTGATTCAATACACTATACCTTTATCGATGTTAAAACGTACTGCATAGCCAACGCCGTCTTAAGCCATACCGGGGTCCTTGGGCACACAAGAATTTGGAGCCCTGTTGGAAAGTAAAAAAAAAGTGAATGAGCTCAGACGAAATTATGTCGTCTGAGTGAATGACATAAGCATTTTTCTGTTGTGATCATATATTTATTATAATTGATTGGCAAAAATAGACAAAACATTGTATAGCGTAGGCGAATAACCTTTCGTCACGGGGGCCCCCTGGACGATAGGGGCCCTGGGCACGGGCCCCGTGTGCCCTTATGGTAAAGACGGTACTGTGCTTAGCATAGGTACAGTGGCGTTCTAAGAAAATTCACTACGCTGCATCGTAAGAGACGAAAAAGGCAACAAAAAACGGGAGATGAGCAGCAGCATCTTCCTGATAACGAATCCAAAACTTAAACAAACCCACTATATTTAAAAAAAACTGTAGGTGCCAACCCACGTAACTACAGTTTTTCAAGCTGT